GCTCCGAGTTCATTTCCTTCTCCTGTTTGGGAGCCAGGAGACACCCTTGCCCGCAAGGATGGCCACGGTCACAGCCATTTCCATCCCATCTTCACCCCGGCCYTCTGCTTCCTCCCATGCAAAACCAACGGCTTTTCGCTGCAGCATCCCAAAGGTCGCTCAGAAATCCCTCCGGGAGCGTTTGGGAGAGCRGCTGCACCCGGGACCCCGGCGGCTGGAGTGGGGGGGACCCTCAGGGTGACCCTCCTGCCTTGGGGGACCCAGGGAAGCGCAAGTGGGGAAACTGAGGCAGGGCTTACGCGGGAGCCGGACGCCGGGCGCTCTCCAGGCTGCGCTTCCCGTGCTCCCAAGGTCTCCGGGAGCAGCTCGCGGCGGTGCCAGCGGGGACAGGGCCGGGGCGGCCCTGGGGCTGGCGAGGGGAAGGTCCCGGGGGGCTGCAGCCCGGCCACGTCCCCCGCTCGCCGCCAGCCCCGCTGCCGCTCGCAAAGTGCTGCTGCCACCTCGCGGTGTCACCTCCGTGTCCCCGCTCGGCCAGAGCCGGCTGCGCCTCTGCGCGCCGCGAGCCCCCGGCCGCGGCCACCGCGCTGGGTGCGCGGGGACMCTGGGCTCCTACGCGTGGCCCGAGGGGACATATGCACCCAGCGACGTCCTCTGCCACCCCGGAGCTCCTGCTGCGCTCCAGGGCTCCGCAGGGCATGGGACTGATGGGGAAACTGAGGCAGGACGAGAGGGAGCGCGCTGCCTTTTGTGCCGCGGTCGGTGCCGGAGCGGGTGGCGGGTGCCCCTGTCCCTGCGCTCGATGGTCCCCGCGCTCCGGCCCCATCTGCTCCGAGCTTTTTTTAGCCCCTCGCGCCCAGCGCTTCTCCCAGCCCGGCAGCTGCTGAGCCCCGGAGCAGGTGCTCGCAGCGGCTGATTTTTCCACCCATCGGCATCTGGGGAGCGGCTCCGAATGCCGCCCAAACTGGACAAGGGCAGGGACCGGCGAGCRGATAATTGCCACTGGCCACTCCTGGCTTTCCAAAGGAGATGGCCAAGGGGTGACAGCCCCTCTTGGATGTGTCACCCCAAGGGGCAGCTCCCAGCTTATTTGCGACCTTCTCTAGATCTTCCTTCTCCAAGATTTCTGGTCTTCCTGGTGTCCCTCCTGTGTCTCCTGAGCTTCTCAAGCTGAGGAGAAGACAAGATTCAGGCTGGCAAAAAGTGGAGGAAAACTGGCTTAACTGGGGACGGGCATCTTTGCTTTTCTATCCAGCTCTCTGCAGAGCCATCCACTGCCGGCCTCAGCCCGGCTTGCCCACCTTCCAGGAGGCAGGTGCTGCTGGAAGGGGATCCCACTTTGCATTTCTAGCACAGCTTTGTCCTCCTCACCTGGCTGCTGCTCCCAGATCTGGAAAAACCCTGGAGATCTCCAGGTGCATGAGATCCTGCCAGGACTGGGCCCTTTCCAGCTGCTTTCCTCGGAGCAGGGGTTCAAAGCAGGGGCAAGTGGRGAAGCTTTCGGCTCTCCCTCCCTTTTCTCTTCCCCTCCCCACTGGAATCCAGCTTTCGGGATCAAGAACACTGCCGGCTATTTTTAAAGCATTGCCTTCGCCCCTCGCTCTGCAGCCCGCGGTGACAGATCGGGTGGCGTGACGCTCAGCTGTCTGCTGCTCCCACCACRGCGATCCCGGGATTCCCTGCTCCCTGGCAGCCCTCCTGCCCGGGAAGGAGCCGCAGGCGAATCCACGCGCGGGGCCGGGACCTGCGCCCAGCGCCGCGTCCGGCAGCCCCACYGGCCGGAGCGACATTCCCGAGGGTAAGCGGCCTGCTGGGATCCTCCGCAGGGATTCGGGCTCCAGTGGGGAGGGAGRAAAAGGGGACACGGGTGGAGGAGACGACTGGATCCTTCAGGTGGGCATCGCCCAGGGAGTCTGCATGGGCTGGAGGCGGGTGAGCCTGAGCAGGAGACTTTTCCGAGTGCCCCCATCCGCGCAGACCGTTTCTGGCTGCAAACTGGTGCTACTGGTGTCACCCATAGCCATGGCTCTGCAGGGACAATGGGCACCAGCTCCGAGCCCGTCCAGGCTGCCTCCCTGAGCACCCGACACCCCTGAGCACTTGGCTCGAACCAAACTCATTGCATTAATGACGAGGCTAGACAAGGGAGCAGCCCGTAAGGGCGCTGCCTCCACCTCACCCTGCTCCCACCCCATGTGCCCTGTGTTGGACGAGGCTCCGCTCCGGCGACGCTCCCAAATTCCCAGCCCGCCCTTCCCAGGCTCTCCCCAGCCCAGACGCTCCCACCTGCTCTTCCCAGGAGAATTCCCACCTACCTGTTCCTGCCTTCCGGCCYGCATGGGATAGATCCCTGTGGTGGCCGCCCATGCCGGGGCTCACCACGGGGCACACGGCTGGGACAGACCTCATTGGGCTAYGCTGTGATTTGGGTTTTATATATGTATAAATAAATATATATGTATATTTATATTTATATACATAAAAATTATAATATAAGCAAGATTTCTTCTGCTGTCTGGTTATCTCAGCCCCTCATTACCAGGTAGCAGAGACCCAGTGCGGACAGATGGGGCACGGAAAGAGCCACCAAGGCGCCACGTGTYCCAGCAGTGAAGCCCGGCATTCCCGAGCCTCCCTCTCTGCTGGAGGCTGCTGCTGATCCCAGCTGGAATTTCAATCCAAGGCCATATTTTACTCCTTGCTCTCTTTTCCCTTGCCCCCGAGAAAGACTCGGAGCRGGAAAAGCCCTTTTCCTCCCCATTTAGCGGGAATAGCAGGAATTGTGCAGCCGCTCGGCGCACCTGAGCCCTTGTGGGTGGCTTTTGGGAAAGCCACCACGGCCGGGCGGTCACCYACCCCACGGGCCACCTTTGACCCATGCCATCTTTGTGCTCAGGACTCAGCGGGGCACCTGGAAGCCGTTTGCTGCCCGTTGTCCTCCCCACGGGGCGAAACGGGGCATCGCCAGCACCCCTCAACTCAGCCTGTGCCTCAGTTTACCCAAATGGGAGCAGAATTATCTGGGAAATGACCAACAAAGTGGGTACTGGTGGGAAGTAACATCCAAGGATTCATTCAGCTTGCAATAGGAGCCCTAAAGGAAGGCAAACGCGGTCCCGCGGATGCAGACAGCCTGTGCTGCAAGCCCCGGGGGGCTCGCTCGGCCCCGCGTGCCCGCTGCTCTCGGCCGCCTTGGAGCCCGTCTAAATTTGGCAGCTCTATTTCGACACCCGCGCGCTGCCCCGTGGAGGGGACGGTGACGGAGCAAAGGTGGCCGGGCAGGAGGAGCGGGGAGCCCCGTGCYCCGGCAGGGTTTTATCCCCAGGGTTTTATCCGGGAGCCAGGGTGGCGTTTTCGCAGCTACCCAGGGTGGCATTTTCGCAGCTGTCCCCCCATGGATCTCCCCGGCTGTCACCGGTGGTAGAGCCTGGTGACAAGGACATGCCAGCCCAGGGAAGGCGTCCCCGCTGTGGCCGGCACGTTGACTCCGGAGGAGGCCGGGGCAGGTAGGGGCTGGAATGAGGGTCCAAGGAGAGGGGAGAGCAGGGCAGCAGCACCCAGAGGTGCCGGGGGTGCCCTATGTGAGCCGGCATCACCTCCGGCCGCCGCAGGCGCGGGGACATCCTGGAGAACGTCCCGCTGCTCACGGGCCGGCGGCAGAGCCTCTCCCTCACCCAGCCCTGCTCTTCTCCACGCCTCTCAACCAGGGTCCCGGCGGGGACGTCCCCCCTGCGCCACCCCCCGCAGGGCTCGGGGCRGCCGGGAGGGCTCCACCGTGGCCCCAAGCCCCAGCGCCCTCGGCTCGGCACGGCGGGGAGCAGCCGGAGCATCGGAGCGCCGCCGGAGCCCATTTGCTCCAGGCATCTGCCCCTCCGGCCATTAATCCAGCTCACAGAGGGACACGGGGCAGCCGCCGCTCCGCTACATGGCAAAGGGAGCTCTGAAGGCATGGAGATCATTTTGGGGGGAAAGGATGAGAGTTTGGGCTCTTTTCCTGCCTGGCTGCAGCTTGCACTTAGCAGCAGCCACAGCCTCCCCCGTCCACACTCCTTGGGCTCCCCAGTGCCGGGCACAGATCCCTGTGGGTATCAGCCCTTAACAAGCAGCATCTCCCGAAAGCTCAGGGGAAAATAACCTCATTTCAGGCACCGCAGCTCCCGAGGGACCTTTGCAAAAGGCGCCCTGGCTAAGAAGGGACAAACAAGCAGCTGCTAAAGGCAGCCCGGGCGGACGGCCCCGCGCAGCCTCGGCGAAGCAGAAGAGAAGATAAATTTAACCAGGGCCGCCAGTTGTCTGCGCTGATGGAGCGGGGCTGTGCTCCCGGCATTCCCAMCTCGGACAGCCCCAGCCTTCCTGCGCGCACGGAGCACCAGGAGCCAGCAAGTGCCTTTCCCGGCTGCGGGAGGAAGAGCCGCGTGTTGTGTGCCGGATTTCAGGGATGCTGCGTGTCGCAGCGATGCTGCTCATGGACATCGCAGCAGCGGCCCTGACAATTCATTTTCCTGGCTCTTASCCCTTGGATGCTGTGCTGGCATCTTGCTTTGTGCCTGCTGGTGTCAGCGCTGCCCTCGCCCGTGCCACGGAGGCTCTGCAAGCCGCAGGGCTCACCCAGGTGGAAGTTTTAACTGCTTGACACACTGAGCTACATCACACAGCTGCTTCTGGCTGGGAGAGGAGAGCTACAGGGGTTTAAAATGGGGAAAAAAAGTGAAATTGAGCCATCTGGGAGCAGCAGCCCCATGTCCTCCAGCCCTGCAGGACCTGTTTTGCAGCTGCCTGGCCCTTGGCAGCTCCATTCCTGCAGCTCGGGGCACCTCTGGGTGCTGCTGGCGTTAGGTGCAGCATCTCCCACCCTTGTCTCTCCCTTCCTTCCAGGCAACTCGCTGAATGAGGCAGACAGGAGCCAGCAGGTGAGCAGCTCCCACAGCTCTGGATGGATGGGAATGGGGAAATCTGCCGGCAGTGAGGGCCTGGAGAAGCTGGAACCCCTCTGCTTCTTCCTGAGAGCGCTCTTCCTCCTCCTCCTCTGCCAGCATGGTAAGGAAGCAGATGGGCAGTAAGGCCACGGCCGCATCCATGGCAAGAACAACCAGGGGGAACCACAGCCCGAGGGTGCAGGGAGGGTAAAAACCTGGCAGAGCTGCTAGGACGTGGCCTTCGGGCCACAAAAACCAAGTCACCTTCATTAGCCCCGAGTTTACTATAGGGAGATGGGTCCTTGCAGCGAGGGTTTCCATCTCCAGCAAGATCTGCAGTGGTCCAGATGGAGGGAAGCAGTGGGAGGAGAAGGGGCTGCCCCATCCCCAGCGCTCCAGCCCTCCTGGGATGCCCAGGGCCATCCTGTTTCTCCCAGTTTCTTCCCAGTGCAAGATCCTTCGCTGCAACTCGGAGTACGTGGCAGCCACCCTCAACCTGCGCGGCCCCAGCAGGACCGCGGCCTTCTGCAGCGCCCTGCGCTCCTACTCGCACTGCACGCGCAAGACGGCCCGCACGTGCCGGGGTGACCTGGCCTACCACTCTGCCGTCCACGGCATCGAGGACCTCATGATCCAGAACAACTGCTCCAAGGAAGGTCCCGTCTCCCCGCCCCGACCCCGGCCGCCGGCCCCCAACCACCACCGGGGCTTGGAGCCCCTGGATATCTGCAACTACGAGAAGAGTTTCCTCTACAAGCACGGGCAGCCGCCCAGCTACCAGCACTGCGCGGCCTTTGGGGACCCCCACATCCGCACTTTCCATGACGACTTCCACACTTGCAGGGTGGAGGGCTCCTGGCCCCTCTTGGACAACRACTACTTGTTCGTGCAAGCCACCAGCTCGCCGGTGGCCAAGGGCTCCAAYGCTACGGTTACTAGCAAGGTAATGGTCTCACCTAGGGCTTGTCGGCTTCATCTCCGGGAGGCAGGACTGGCTTTGGGAGAGAGAGGCCCTGTGAGAGAGGTGATCCCCTGTAACCGAGATGATCCCCTGTAACCGAGAGGACTGCCCTGTAACAGAGATGGCAGATGCCCCGTGTCACCTTTTCCCTTGAACTGCCATCTATTTCACAGAATCACACAACGGTTAAGGTTAGAGGGGACCTCAGTTGACCATCTGTCCAACCCCACTGCTCAAGCAGGGCATTCGGGTGCTTAAAGTGAGGATGGGATGGGGAGGGCAGTAACAGCTTCAGCTAGATTCCCGTGGGAGCAGGAATGAACGCTCCAGGAATAAGTGGGATGAAGGTCCTTAGGACCAGGGAGAGCCATGGCCCGGCAGGGTGACACTGCTGCCCAGGACGGCCGTGTGCCCATGGGTTGTCTATCTAGCACTTCTCCTTTCTAAGGAGAGAAGGACATAAATTGTTCCTAGCCGGACCACAGTAAGGTGGGCAAGCTGGGATGGGGCAAAGGGGGATGCTCCGGTGAGGCCAGCGCGGATGGGCTGGAACCCGCGGTGGGGACACGTSTGTGTCTGCTGGTGGGGAGCCCAGGCTGACAGATCCCAGGGCTTCTGATCTGCTCTCTGTGTGCAGCTCACCATCATATTCAAGACCATGAAGGAGTGCGTTGAGCAGAAGGTCTACCAGGCGGAGATCGACAACGTTCCCGCCGCCTTCGAGGACGGCTCGGTGAACGGCGGCGAGAGGCCGGGCGGAAGCAGCTTGGCTATCCGGGAACACACGCCCGGGCGGCACGTGGAGATCCGCGCCGAGTACATCGGCACCACCATCGCCGTCCGGCAGGCCGGGCGCCAGCTCTCCTTCTCCATCCGTGCGGCCGAGGAGGTGGCAGGCGCCTTCACGGAGGAGCAGGACCTGCAGCTCTGCGTGGGCGGCTGTCCCCGCAGCCAGCGCATCTCCCGCAGCAGGTGCTGCCCGGGCCGGATGGCAGCGGAGACGGCCCGCGCGCTCTGCAAGGAGAGGCTGCCCGTGGAGGACGTCTACTTCCAGTCGTGCGTCTTCGACGTGGTGACCTCAGGGGATGCCAACTTCACCATGGCCGCGCATGGAGCATTGGAGGATGCCCGTGTCTTCCTTCCCAACGCTGAGAAGCTGCACATCTTCCAGGCTGCAGCAGGCTGCTGGCATACCTCTTCCTCCTTCCTCCTCTTCCTCCTCCCCTCTAGTCTTTGGGCTATTTGCTGGCACTCGTAACTCTTGTTGGCGGCCACTTGCTGGCATGACATCCAGCATGGGGGACACATCCAAGGGACAGCCCAATGGGGTAACAYGAGAGCTGCTGACTCAGGAATCGTGCCTTGTCCATCAAGAAAGATGCCTTATCTTGGATCAAATATCTGCAGCAAGGAGGGTTGGAGGGCCACGTCTTTGGAGGGGAGCACTGGGGATCAACAACAGGGAAACACSGTTGTACCCACCGTTCTCACCAGCATGGAGGATGACATGGGTCCAATCTCCTTCCTCTCCCCGAAGGCCATCTGCAGAATAGTATTTTGGATTCTTCATGCAAGTTTTCCTCCTAAAGATCATGGCAAGTCCTATCAAAGAAGAAGAAACATGCAGAGGTTGAACATCTGCTCACTTGCGTTGTCCTCAGTATTATCCTTTTGATCCCACCACGTGGAAGAGGTACTTAGAGAACTTCCATCGAGCCTTTGAATGTTCCCGGCAGGTACCAGTTCGGTACAAGACATTGGTCCTCGCAGTAGGCTTGCTCTGCACATTTATGGTGGAGTTACTACAGCAGACCTTTGCTCAGGAACCTGACAAACTTAGAAAAAATAGGGCAGTTCCTATCCGAACAGTCACAAAACATTGTTTTATGGATCTGGAGCTCCTTGACCCACCTGCTGCTGAAATCGTGTTAGAGAGAAGCCAAGCAATAAAACAGTCACGGGAATGACGTGACCAACGTTTGCGTTTCCTTTATAATAGGAGCTAGAAATTAAACTTTTTTAACTGTATTCTCCTTTTTCGGGATTAGCAGCCGAGACGGTAACGTTGCATTAGTGCTAATTTCTAGTCCGCTGGTGCTGCAAAACACCAGGTCTCTGAAATTTCATCTACTGTTGCTATTTTTCTTTGTGGTTGTCTCGGCACCTGTCTCGGACTCAATATAGCAAGTTCTGGACTTTGGACCAGGGTTGAGTTTCAGTGAGGTGGGAGAGGGAAAACAACCCGGCGTCCCTCTCCCTTGGGTCCAGCTTCCTAGGTGCTGTCACAACCCAGCTCCAACCCAACCGGTGCTGTTGGAATGACTTGGAAAAAGAGGATTAACAGCAAAGACAACAACAAGCTGGCAAAAGCCACTTGACTGTCGATGGGGAGGTGAACTACAGGTGTACATAAATATTGAGGTGAGGCCAAATTAGATATTTWATATATTTTCAGAGGTTTTAAGAAAGTGCATAGAGTTCTATTTGTTAACGGATAATTTCCATATGTAAAGTTTTTCTTTTTTTTATATAAAGAGGGCTCACCTTCCCCCTCCTTGTCCTGGAAAGCTATAAGAGCAGCTTCTTTTCCCTCTGGCTCTTCTGGACRGGACCTGGACAAAGGGAATACAGAGAGGTTTCCTGGCTCTGTGAGCACACTGCCTTCCCCATCGTGCGCCCAAAGCTCACGGCAGCAAGCGCGAGCGCTGCTCCGGCGCCCGCACGCTGCTCGCACCAGTCCCTGAGCGTTTTGACATTAAAGGTGTCTATTTTTGAAGTTCTCATTTCCTGTCATCTGTCTCTCATTTCTTTGGTCGGCAGCAGCAGGTGAAGATAATAATATCTCGCCTTCCACCCACCACTCCGTACACTCGTAGCGCTCTGCGGTCTATATATACGTGCTCCGGAGCGGCAGGGGAAGGCGAAGGGCCACCGCCTGCAGCATCAAATACGCGGCAGCCCGCGGGGTTAATGCTCTTGGAGGCCCTTGGAGAAGCAGGATTGACTTAACCGGCCATAAAAYCACCCGCCTCTAGGGTGCAAAACGCTCTTTGACTCTTTAGCTCTTTAGGAGCACGCAGCAACACTAGGCAAGTGCTAGCAGCTAATGCACTGGGGACATTTTACCATGCAGAGTGCAATTATCCTCTGGATTTTGGCTGCTCTGTCCGGTTAACGTGCCCGGGGTGGGAAAGGGTGGTGTTCATGACCATACCTTTCTGGTCGAGGTCTCTTGTTGAAGAGCTGGGCCATGCTCACCCTCAGACCCGGCCCTTTGCACCTCCACGGTTGTACAAGGGGGTTGGAGGAGCYGCCAGGATCAGCAGCATCCCAAGGCTTTGCACCGAACACGGAGCGTGACGAGCGCCAGCGCCAGGGCTGCTCTTCCCAGCTTGSCAAAGACCAAGGGCAAAGGCCAAGACTGTGGAAAGGGGCAAAGAACGGGGCTCTGAAGACCTYGTGCCCATTGAAAAGAAAACTGGAGCTTCCTGGGGCTGCCCGTGAGAGGCAGATCCAAGGTGTTGCATTTGTCATGCACCTGACAAACCCCAACGCCCATGGGAAAGCCTTGGGCAAGCTCCAGAGCTGCCTGGAAGCAGCGAGTTGGAGCACCCTGAGCAGCTCAGGCAGGTCCGAGGTTCCCATTCGGGTTAGGGCAGGCGCTGGGTAGTCCAAACATGTCACAGTCAAGGCCACCACCTTCCCCACACACAATACAGGTGCTCAAACGCGAGCACGGCGGAGTTAGCAGCCAGCAACTCGGAGGGACCGGGCGCAGCGCTAGCGGGTTTGAGCTGCTCTCAGGATTGTTCAGTACTCGGCATCCTACATTTAATGATTTGGRAGGAAGCAAGACCTTTCCGAGATGTGCTAAAGTCTCTAAGTAGAAGAGAGACCTCTGCCAGATTGCAGGCTGAAATAAAGAAGCGGAACGTAGGCGTGGATCCAAGCCCCATTGATGTCAACAAGAGTATTTCCATTGACGTCAGTAGACTTTGGATTGAGCCCTTATTTTTCCTAGCGTATGTCACCTGCTAAAAAAGACACGGGCAGCACTGGCCCGCGTTGGCAAACGCAAGCCTAGCTTTGGCCATTGTGGGCCTGGGTGCCCAACCGGAGCGGTTGGAGCAAGGGAGTCTCCAGCTGGGATCAAGACCTGGGGCTTCATCCGCCCTGATTGGCAGCACCAACGGCAGCCAGCGGCAGGTTTCCAGGGAAGGATGCGGGAATGCCGCAAGAGGCGGGGATGGGACAACCTTCTCCCCACATATCCTGTCTCACCCTGATTTCTAGGAGATAGAGAAATGCCAAGGCCCTGGGGCAGGCGGTGGAGCAGCCAGAGCCAAGTCTCCATTAGCAGCTGCTTCTACACGTCACAAAACAACGCGCTCCTCAGAGGCAGCCAGGTTTGCCAGCTCCTGCTCTTGTAATGAGGGTACAAAACAGGGCAAATCAGAGCTGCCAAGCCACTAATCCGACGCTCCGAGGCAGAGCTGTCTGAATCAGCAGCAGTTCTTCAAGACTCAAAGGACATCCCCAAAGCCAGGCTTGCCTCGTGTACTTGGTGCCAAACCGTGCCTCGTTTAGTCAATGAGCTGCTAGGCCAGGCACAAGGTTCCTCCTCCCGGAATGGGAATGGCTGAAAGGGGCACATTCCAGTGTGACTTGTCACCCTGTGTGAGCGTTTCCTGCCCGACGCGCTCCAGGCAATGGGCAGGATCACTGGGAAAGGACAGGAGCCGTCAGGGACGTTGGGCAGCAGACGAACACAGCCCAGAGCTCCGGAGGTCCATCCTGCCACGTCCCCTAAGGAATGGCTAAGGCCCTGGTTATGGTCCCAGATCCCCATTTGCACAGAGTTTCTTCTCAACATTCCTCTCCTTCTTCTCGGAGCCGGGTAATGCACAAGCGAACACAAAGACTCATTCCCACCTTGACAAAATCATAACTGGCGCACTCAAAATTTGTTCCTTCTAGCCCAATTTCCTTGCAGCTCCACTCGCCTCCCCCTAAACTCCCTTTTCGCCCAGGACCGGGAGCCCAAAACAGGGACATTACCACTCTTGGGATATGGAATCCAAGCAGGCAAGCCGTAAGGGAGGGAGGAAAATCATCCCCGTGGTGGCCGTTATTCCTGAAAAGGCCTCTAGATGTCCACGCGCACCAAGATAAGGCTGGAGTCAACACTGCAGAGGGAGCGGGAGCCTCTGCCAGCTTCCACAGCCCAACCTGGCCCAAGGGATTTCTCTCCTGAATCAAAACACCACAAAATATCCCATAAAGCTTCCAGAATTTGACCTGGTTTTCTAGAGATAATGAGRATCTGAGATCAGTGAGGGCCAAGGAGGGGTGGGAAGGGGCTTCCCACCGCCCCGTTTCAGCCACCTCGCGCCAATCCAGGYGAGGGACCTTGTTTGGGGTCAGCATCCCCCAGGGACCCCGCCTTGCTCGGCCCAGGGAACTGCTTTGGCTGCTGAAGAATAAGGAGGTTCCCTTCTCCCTCTGCCCCTTCCAGCATCCATGGGCCCCTGCCAGGGAGTCACAGAATCACAGAAGGGTTGAGGTTGGAAGGGACCTCTAGGGATCATCTAGTCCAATGCCCTGCTCCAGCAGGGACACCCAGAGCATGTGGCACAGGCTGCGTCCAGGCGGGTTTTGAAGCCCTCCAGAGAAGGAGACTCCACAACCTCCCTGGGCAGCCTGTGCCAGGGCTCTGTCACCCTCACAGTGAAGAAGTTCCTCCTCACATGAAGATGGAACTTCCTGTGTTTCAACTTACACCCATTGCCCCTTGTCCTGTCACTGGCCACCACTGAGAAGAGCTTGGCCCCTTCTTCCCTATGTTCTCCCTTCATGAAGTTATCCATGTTGATCAGATCCCCTCTCAGCCTTCTCTTCTCCAAGCTGAACAGGCCCAGCTCACTTAGTCTTTCCTCATAAGAGAAATGCTCCAGTCCCTTAATCATCTTTGTTGCCCTCCACTGGACCCTCTCCAGAAGGCTCCACGTCCCTCTTGTCCTGGGGAGCCCAGCACTGCACACAGTACTCAAGGTCTGACCTCCCCAGAGCTGAGCAGAGGGGCAGGATCCCCTCCCTTGACCTGCTGGCAACACTCCTCCTGATGCAGGCCAGGATCCCATTGGCCTTCTTGGCCACGAGGGCGCACTGCTCACTCATGGTTAACTTGGTGTCATCAGGACTCCCAGGTCCCTCTCCGTGGAGGTGCTCTCCAGCAGGTCGACCCCTAATCTGTCCTGGTGCCTGGGGTTATTCCTCCCCAGGTGCAGGACCCTGCACTTGTCCTTRTTGAACCTCATGAGGTTCCTCTCTGCCCAACTCTCCAGCCTGTCCAGGTCCCTCTGGATGGCAGCACAGCCCTCCGGAGTGTCGGCCACTCCACCCAGCTTGGTGTCATCCGCAAACTTGCTCAGGGTGCATTCCATGCCCTCGTCCAGGTCATTGATGAGCAGGTTGAACAGCACCGGGCCCAGSACTGACCCCTGGGGACTCCAACTGGACTCGGCCCCATTTATCAGGACCCTCTGAGCTCTGCCATGCAGCCAGTTCCCAACCCACCTCAATGGCCCCAAGGGAAAGCTGCATGGAGCAGGGACGGAAGGTCAGCAAACCTTAGGTTGGGCAACACTTTTCCCTCTGTTAACAACAATAACAAAAATGTGAATAAAACACTAAGAGGAGCAGACAGATGGGTTTTGCACCGCGCCGGGCTGCAGGCTGGTGAGGAGGCAGCTGGTGCATCCGTGTCCTCCCGCTCGGAGCAGGTGGAAGGCACGGAACCTCCCAAGCTCCGCATGCAAATTCCTGCTTGTCTGCGGCCAGCTGAACTGAGGCTCTGGCACGGGCTGCTGCCGCTCAGCGCTGGCAAAATCCTCCCCGTTGCAAAATCCCGGTGTGCCGAGACAAGAGGTGAGGAGATCCCATCGCGGCAAGAAAAACATCCGCCGGGAAGAGGTTTGTTGGGTTGCTCTCCTGGCAGGAGCCGGAAAGCTGTCGCCTTGGGGCAAGTCCTCACCCGGCTCCCCGCGGAGGCTTCTCCTGTTGAGCTGGGATGGGCAGGGAGGAGAAGGGATCTCGGAGCGGGATGCGGATGCCGCAGGGCGGTTCAAAAGGCAGCCGGCACAACCAGGAACAGCGGCGGCACGAGCTGCTGCTGGGAAAGGTGCACGGGGCCGCGCACCCATGGGCTCCCATGGAGGATCCATGCGGGATCGTGGCCAGCACGATCCCTGTGGGATCCTCCAGCGCTGCTCACCATCCGTGCACGGGCYGAGAGTGGTCTCCATCCCTTCCCACCCTAGCCAAAGGAAATGCCTTTTCCGGGCCGGCTCCCACCACTGTCTGCTCTGTCCCTCTGCTCAGCCCACCAGCAGTCCCCTCACGTCCTTCTCTTTCCCCTCCCCGCCTGGAATTTGCTGGAAAGAACCATATATGGTGAAAAAAAACATGGCAAACAGCCCCGGGAAGCGCCTGGGAGCCGCGCACAAGGCAGTCCACGAGCCGGAGACCTGCTCCAGGATGGGAAAGGACGGTCCCAATGGGAGCCGCGCACAAGGCAGCCCGCGAGCCGGAGACCTGCTCCAAGACCTGCTCTAGGATGGGAAAGGACGGTCCCAATGGGAGCCGCGACATCTCCATGGGCACAGCGGCTCCCTGCAAGCGAGCCCAGGAATTGCAGGGTTCGGGGAGCATTCCCGTGCATCCGCAGGCGGGATGGGGGGAGCCCCCAGCAAAACCCCCTTGGACGGCGCCTTTCTGCCTCCCCTCGTGCCCTTGCCGGGACCCAGCGGCGCGTGAGTCACGGCAGGGCCGAGTTTCGAGCTCGGCCCATCCCTGCTCCGCGGGGCTGGGTTAAACCCGACACGTCCCATTAGTCACAGGGCTCGGCCGCCGTCACCGGCCGCCCGCGGCGGCGACGCTCTCCCCATGGCAGCGGGATTTTCTCCCCCGCCGGATCCACCAGCAGGGCTGGATCCTCCGAGCCCTGTGAGCTGGGAAGCGGGGCCGCTTCCTTAAAACAATTCCCTAGCAGAGGGAAGGAAGTGCCCAAAGCTGCTCCCTGCCCAAAGACACAACCAGCTTCCCTTTGAGCTCTTCCTTCTTAATGCAACGGGACATTCCGAAGGTTTGCGTTCCTAGCTGCAATTCCTCAGGGTTTCCAAAGCCTGATCCTTAACCCCAGGCATTGTTTGCGTGGGAAAACTCATGCAGGGAGTCTCATCCTGGGAAAGTTTGCAGCTGCGGAGAGGCCTCTCCAGCCGGATAGAGGTCAGGGGAGCAAAGGGCAGGAGCCGATGGATGGATAAAGCTGGAGCCTGGAGGGGAGCCAGGCTCCGAAACGTGCCTTGGACCCGCTCTCTGGCAAGGGGAGGACTCGGCCGTCCTTTGACATCCCTGGAACGCTGGAGCCGGCCCGAGGCCTCTTCCCTGGGATAGCAGCACCCAGGGAAACCGGAGCCGGGCCGCGCAAACACGGCCCGCGAAGGAACGCRCGGCAAAGCCAGCGCGAAGCCGGGRCCGCGGCGCTGCCAAAGCAGCCCGGCTCCTTTCTCCGAGTTGGAGCAAATCCCAAATCCTCGTGGGCCTGGGAGGGGACAATGGCGAGGGACAGGGGCAGGAAAAGCGGCCGTTCCTGCAGAGCGGCGCGCKGGCGGCAGGGGGGTATCCGGCGGCCTGGCGGGAGGTCGGTTTACATCCCGGCCACTTTATCCGGCCACTTTATCAGTTTAACGCGTGGATCCCCCCGGAGCGCGGCGGCGAAGCAGCGGGAGCCGGGCGCGTGCCAGTGAGGCTGGCGCAAACAAGCCGTGTCGCGGGGCAAAGGACAGCCGGGACAACACCTGGCAAACACACCCGGGAAAAACACCCGGGAAGGGCTCCTGGGAAAAACACCCGGGAAAGACACCCGGGAAGGGCTCCTGGAAAAACACAGCACGCTCCTCCTCGGGATGGGGGCACAGCCGGGCTGTGCAGCCTCCCCGAGCCCTGTTTCCATCCCTGCCGTTTTATTGTTCGTTTAGGGGAATTTTCGCACTCGTGTTTCCTCCGCTCCCCCGCCTGTTTTCCTGAGCTGCGAGAGCCCAAACGCCCTGAAACCTTCCCGGGCGAAACAGGCGGTGGGGAGGAACACCAGGAAACAGAGGGGTCCCCCCCTTGTTCCCAATCCAGCAACGCCTGCTCCCCAAATCCCGGCTTGGGGGGAGGGGGAGTGAAAAGGCTCAAAATATCCCGAACAGGAGCAGGGCGGGGGGGGCACCCAGCAGGGTTTAAGGTGTCCCCTGTTTTGGCAGGAGCCGGATGGGGGGGCACCAAGTCAGGTTTAAGATGTCCCCTGTTTTGGCAGGAGCGTGGGGGGGGGGCACTAGGAAGGGTTTAGGGTGTCCCCTGTTTTGGCAGGAGCAGGGTGGGGGGGCACTAGGAAGGGTTTAGGGTGTCCCCTGTTTTGGCAGGAGCAGGGTGGGGGGGCACTAGGAAGGGTTTAGGGTGTCCCCTGTTTTGGCAGGAGCAGGGTGGGGGGGCACTAGGAAGGGTTTAAGATGTCCCCTGTTTTGGCAGGAGCAGGGCGGGGGGGCACCAAGTCAGGTTTAAGGTGTCCCCTGTTTTGGCAGATGACGGCGCCATGAGCAACGCGCCCGGCAAGGGGGGTGTCGCTTGGGGGGGGACACAGGCGGTAGTGGCTCCATAGGGAGGGAGACAGGCTGGGAGGGGTCCCCACTTTCCCCAGGGCGAGGCTTCCTCCTCCCTACCCCAATTCTGCCCTTATTYACCCCAAAAGATTGGGGGGGGGGGGGCTGTGAAAGCGCCTCAGCTCTCTTGTTGGGGGGGAGTTGTGGAAATCCCCCCAAACAGGAGGGGAAAAGGGGAGACTCCAGAGGGGTGGGGGGAACAGCAGAGCCCTGGGGGCTGCCCCAGGCCCCCCAGCATTCGGGTCCGAACCGAACCGGCCCGAACCGAACCGGGCGCAACCCCSAGCCCCGAGGGGGTTCAAGCCCCGCGCCCCCACCCCGCCGGGAACATGACATCCTGTTTCCCGCTCCCCATTGGCTCCCGCCGGCCGCTCTCCTCGCCCGCCATTGGCCCGTCGCGCCGTCACTCCGCCGCCCTCCCCCGCCCTCCGAGGTGCACTCGCTCCCCTCTCCTTCACACGCTGTCCACGCTCCGCACACTGCGCGCCGATTGGCTGGAGGGGGTGTAAACAAGGCAGCGGCGGCCAATGGGAGCGCTGATCACGCGAGCAGCACGCTTGGCCACGCGCCCCCGGCGTGCAGCGCTTGGCATCAACAAGTGCGGGCGGGGAGGGCGGGGGCGGGAGGCGGAGGCTATAAAAGGCGGCAGCGGCGGCGGGCGCGCACAGCGCTCAGGGCGGCAGCGAGGCGGGCGGCTGCAGCGCGGGCAGGCACTGGGTCCCTCAGCTCGTAGCGAGGGAAGAGTCGAGCTTTGGTCCAACTTCTGACTGAAAATCGACCTTTCCGAGCTATTTTTTCCCTCAATTGTTGMCGTTGAGGGGAAAAAAAGCACCATAACTGCCCAGCGCAGCTCCCTTCTGCCTCCTGAGGAGCCTCCCCCAAGCTTCACCTCAGCCATGGTGATGTTCAAGAAGGTCAAGACCTTCCTCGTGGCCCTCAGCGAGCCCGAGAAGGTTTACTGCAGCGGGGAGAAGGTGGCAGGGCATGTGGTGGTGGAGGTGGCCGAGGTGACGCGCGTCAGCGCCGTCAAGGTGCTGGCCTGCGGCATGGCCAGAGTCAACTGGGCCAAGGGCCCGCAGCAGTGCAAGCAGGAGATGGAGTACCTGCGCTTCGAGGATGTCCTGGCCCTGGAGGAGCAGCCCACGGGTGAGCATGTGGCGCTGGGAAAGGGGGGAGCGGGTGGGAAAGGGCTTGGAAGCGGCTGGGTCTCCTGGTTGTATCCGCGTGGGGACGGTGCTGCGGCTGGGGAGGGCGTTTGCGTTTGGCTGGCGGGAGGGAAACGGGCTTGAACATGGGCTGAGTGAACTGGTTGAACCCTTGGAAAGGGGGGAAGCGGAGGCCAGGGCTGTGGGGCAGAGCTGGAGATCGTGGGGCCTAATCAAAGCAGAAGAGCCGAATGAGGTGCCTACAGAAGGCGCTGGGTGCTGATGCACCAGCGAGCGGGCGGCAGAGCCGGGTGCCTGTCCGCGAGGCCCAWGGGGTCCAAGAGCGGCAGGTCGGCGTCCACAAGCAGGAGATTCCCCATCCCTTCCCTGCCCTTATCGCCCTTCCTGTTGTGCTGGGCAAGGCAGATAGGCGCTGGGCAGAGCGTCTTGGGAGATAAGCGCGGTGACGTGACATCCCAGCGGTAAACAGGTAGTTTGGGAGAGAAGTGAGCGCTTCCAGAAAGTGGAAGCAGGGTGTGGTAGCAGATTCGGAACACATGCAGATAGGGACTTGGTGTCCCAAGTTCCAAATGAGGATGTTGAAAGCAGAAGTGAAAGTGCAGATGAGCAGAATTTCCTTGCCTTCAGAGAACACCAGGTTCTCAGACTCTCCTTAAGGCACAGGTGTGGGAGGCTCTTGCCAAACAACTAGTAGAGCTCTTAACACCTGCATCACTTCACCATAACCTGTGTGAGCGGAACAGTGGATAATGCTTAGAGAAATGCTGCAGGACTCATCTAATATATATCGTTTTTTCTTTTTTTTTTTCTCAGATGGAGATGGCTCTGTAATCCTGAGACCTGGAAACAAATATGAATACAAATTTGGATTCGAGCTTCCCCAAGGGTAGGTATTAGGCAGAGGTTGTCTAACAAAAGCTTAATTTCAAATTCCTGTGAAAAACTGTCTTATTACCCCAGAAGTGYCTAATGAGTGCCTCTCTTCCTAGGCCCCTGGGCACCACCTTCAAGGGGAAGTACGGCTGCGTGGACTACTGGGTGAAGGCCTTCCTGGAACGCCCGTCCTTTCCCACGCAGGAGACCAAGCAGCGCTTCGAGGTTATGGATCCCGTTGATGTGAACACGCCAGAACTCCTGGTAAGTGCCAGGTGGCCCTGCTGCCTTGGAGAGGTTTGAGTGTCAGCATTAAGGGGGATACAGGCTCCTCAGGTGGGGTCAGGCTGACCTTTATGGGCGAGAGTCCCCTTAAGAGGCTTTACTGCTCAGTACAGATTAAATTGTTCTTAAGAACCCTCCAGAAGGCTCTGTGTAGCCAGGTAGGAGCGAGGTGCTGATTCTGCACTCGGCTAACAAAGGCACTTAGCTCTAATGGGGAGGGGCAGCGTGAATTTGAGGAAGCTTGAATCATAAAAGAGAGGAAGGCGAAGTCCAGCCAGAGCCGGAAAGGAGGAACTGGTTGGGAGCAGCAGGCAGGTTTCATCTGGATAACGATCTTGTTTCTTTTCAGTCTCCAGTTGCTGCCAAGAAGGAGAAGAAGGTGTCCTGTATGTTCATTCCCGATGGCCACGTCTCAGTCAGTGCTCAGATCGACAGAAAAGGCTTTTGTGAAGGTAAGAGCCTGTCCCCACATTTTGGGGAAGGGACAAAGGGGGTTCAACAAGAGCCGAGCAAAGCGCGTTTAAGCAGAAGATGGGCTAAGCCAACAAGCACAGTGCAGGGAAAGCCGTGGTGTTCCTGATGGAAAACGCTGTTCCTTCCCCAGGTGATGAGATCTGCATCAATGCCGACTTCGAGAACACTTGCTCGCGCATCGTGGTGCCCAAGGCGGCCATCATCGCCAAGCACACGTACCTGGCCAACGGGCAGACCAAGGTGTTCACCCAGAAACTCTCCTGCGTCCGAGGCAACCACATCATCTCGGGCATGTCCGAGTCCTGGCGGGGCAAGACCATCCGTGTCAAGAAGCTCAAGCCGTCTATCTTGGGCTGCAACATCCTGCGCGTGGAGTATTTCCTGCAGGTGAGTGGCTTTGGTGGCTGCTCTTGTTCCTCTTGTGGTTAGCGGGTGAGCTTTGCCGGCTCCTAGTTTCCGTTGTCGCTAACAGCTCTGCTTTGTCTCACAGATCTACGTCAGCGTGCCAGGCTCCAAGAAGATCATCCTCGAGCTGCCCCTTGTCATCGGCAGCCGCTCGGGCATCGGCAGCCGCAGCTCCAGCATGGCCAGTCAGACCAGCTCCGAAATGAGCTGGGTGGACCTGAACCTCCCCGATGCTCCGGAAGGTGAGTTAGAGCATCCTTGGTAGATGCTTCAGAACCATTGCGAACTGGGTGCTGGGTGGGTTAGAGGCCRGATGAGAGGCTGGGTGGGTCGGGTRATGCGGGTGAATACAAGCAAGACCCTCTCCCATCTTGGAGAACTCAACAGTCGCTCTTTTCCTTGCAGCGCCTCCTTGTTACTTGGACATTGTCCCTGAAGACCATCGCCTGGAGAGCCCCACCACTCCCCTCCTCGATGACCCCGACGGCTTTGACAGCCCCATCTTCATGTACGCCCCGGAGTTCAAGTTCATGCCACCACCAACCTACACAGAGGTGAGCAGCCCTGTCACCCTGGGCTGTCCCCTGTGGTGGCCTGTGCCACCTCTGTGCAGAGGTGGTGGATGGGGACTGGTAGCTCCGGATGGGGATGGGTTTGGTGGGATTCAGCCTTGGGACAAACCTTCCAAGCCTCTAAATGTCCCCTTTGCTTCCTCCCACAGGTGGATCCCTGCAACGCTAACAACAATGTGCAGTGAGGGCCAAGCAAAAAGTTACTCTCCCACTTTTTCTGGACTCTAGATCTGCAAGGATCCCAGTGCAGCAGCRGCCCGGAGCGCGGCTCCCTGGAGGAGCCCTGCTGCAGGAGGGAATGGCCCCGCAAAGGGCCCTTCACCGGAGCCCGCGGGGAGGCTCCGCGCGGCCGGCGGGGAGGAGGTGACGTGTGTGGCTGTTCCCTCGGGGGCCGCCTGCCCTGCGTGGGCTCGGCGGGGTTTAGGGCCTTGCCTACAGCCATAGTCTTCCAAAAAAAAAAAGAGAAAAGCCCCAAACCCCACAAAACAAAGGTGCTCATGTGGAAACTGGCGGAAAATCCTTGTGTGGAGCAGGGGAAGGTGTCAACGTGTCCGTAACGATCCCGTAAGAGAGGTAAAGTCCAGCCTAAAAAGACTCGAGGAGCTGTTGGAGTGACACAAGTTGCGTCGCGCTGCCTCTGCTCCGACACTGTCCTCCAAGGCAGGCGCGCGGCTCCGTGCGCGTTCGCTCCGTGTCTGTAACGCGCAAAGATTGTAACTCGTTCCTCTGCTGGGGCGGTCTTGGTTAAGCACTCGACTCGGAGCTTCCATGCGCCTTGAGATCCCGGCGGGAGCGGCTGCCTGGGCCCTGATCATGCTCATCCCGTTCCATTTGCTGCTTTGGTGGCGAACTTGGAAGCTGGGCTCCATGGTTGGGTCCACCCGTGTTGATGGGGTCCATCTGCGTGGTGCTTGTCCCGAGCTGGTGGTACTGGTGAGGGACAAGCCCGCTTTCCTGCCAGTCCCAACTTCATCTCGTGCTACCGCGTTATCCGACATGGGCCTCGTGCACCCGYGAGCCGCCCGGAGCCCAAAGCCATCACCTGGGGACAGCTCCCGCGAGGGGCACCGGAGCAGCCCCCCTGCTCGGAGTGCGGAGCAAAGCCCCTTCCCTCAGGAACCYGCTGCCCCAGGGCCCAGCTCTCCAACCCACCAGCTGCCTCTCGGTTCAGACACGACTCAGATCCCGATTCTTTTTCTACTGTTTTTGTATATGGGTTTTTGGGGAGGGCAGGGGGGGAGAAAATTTTATATTTTATACTGTGAGATTCTATAAGCCCCTGTGGGGTTGTGTTTATAATAAAGATTTTGCAAACTGAAGCACTTGGAACTTTTTTGGACGAACGGGGTCCCCAGGCAGGCTCTGGGAAGGGACTCGAGGGCTTTGACCCAACAGGAGCGAGCGGTGCCGGCCTGGGGCTGTGTTCTGCTGCCGTAAGGTCACCCTGGAGTGACGGGACCTTCCGCTGTCCTTGGGGACGTGCGGGGTGTGCGCGGGGCCGCCTGCGGAGCGTGGGAGGTGACGTTGGCAGGGCAGGAGGGACGGGCTGGAGCCGCTGCCATGAGGATCATTCGGAGCCGTGGGGGCCGCGCTCAGCCTTCATCCGCCGGGAGCAGGACAGCGGGAAGAAGCAGCCGCCTCCCGGCCCTCGGGAGCACAGCCGGGGGAATATTCCTTGTGCCCAGGACCCTGTGCCCGCTGCTGCCGCCCGAGGGAAGCGGGCCTGGAGCGGCCAAGCGGCTGCCGGAGCGCGGCGCTCCGGAGGGATCRCGGATGCCAGGCCCCGAGGTGGGAAATTCCCGCCCGCGGCCAAGCCGCGCGCTCGGCTGAGCCGCTTCCCCGGGCGCCGCGGTAGCCACGGCCCCGCTCGGCTCCTTTTTGGGGATGTGGGTGAAAGTTAACGGAAAGTCGACGCTACCTGGGGCCCCGGGGCTCGTGCGGATGAGCAGAACGGTCCCGCGCGCCCGCGGCGACCTTGGCCGCGGCTCGCGCTGCCGCGGGCGCCCGCCCCGGGCCTCAGTTTCCCTCGTCCTTATCTCCCTCCCGGCGGCTCCTTATCTCCGGCACAGCAGCCGCTCCGGCCTGCGGGGGCTTCGGAGCCCCCGGCCGCGCCGAGCGCCGCCCTTATCTCCAGCAAACAAGAGCCGTGTGTGGAGCTGAGGGGAAGGAT